CCTGATAAGATAAACCAGCCTCTTCACACGTCTCGAGGTCACACCCTGACAAGTTAGCCCAGCCTCTTAATCATGTTAATATCTCCAGGTCATGCCCTGATAAGATAGACCAGCCTCTTCACACATCTCCAGGTCACACCCTGACAAGTTAGCCCAGCCTCTTAATCATGTTAATATCTCCAGGTCATGCCCTGATAAGATAGACCAGCCTCTTCACACATCTCCAGGTCACACCCTGACAAGTTAGCCCAGCCTCTTAATCATGTTAATATCTCCAGGTCATGCCCTGATAAGATAGACCAGCCTCTTCACACATCTCCAGGTCACACCCTGACAAGGTAGCCGAGCCTCTTAATCATGTTAATACCTCCAGGTCATGCCCTGATAAGATAGACCAGCCTCTTCACACATCTCCAGGTCACACCCTGACAAGTTAGCCCAGCCTCTTAATCATGTTAATATCTCCAGGTCATGCCCTGATAAGATAGACCAGCCTCTTCACACCTCTCCAGGTCACATCCTGACAAGTTAGCCCAGCCTCTTAATCATGTTAATATCTCTGGGTCATGCCCTGATAAGATAGACCAGCCTCTACACACATCTCCAGGTCACACCCTGACAAATTAGCCCAGCCTCCTAATCATGTTAATATCTCCAGGTCATGCCCTGATAAGATAGACCAGCCTCTTCACACATCTCCAGGTCACACCCTGACAAATTAGCCAAGCCTTTTAATCATGTTAATATCTCCAGGTCATGCCCTGATAAGATGGCCCAGTCAGCTCATTCAGGTTCAGGTCACACCCTGACAAATTAGCCCAGCCTCCTAATCATGTTAATATCTCCAGGTCATGCCCTGATAAGATAGACCAGCCTCTTCACACATCTCCAGGTCACACCCTGACAAATTAGCCAAGCCTTTTAATCATGTTAATATCTCCAGGTCATGCCCTGATAAGATGGCCCAGTCAGCTCATTCAGGTTCAGGTCACACCCTGACAAATTAGCCCAGCCTCCTAATCATGTTAATATCTCCAGGTCATGCCCTGATAAGATAGACCAGCCTCTTCACACATCTCCAGGTCACACCCTGACAAATTAGCCCAGCCTCCTAATCATGTTAATATCTCCAGGTCATGCCCTGATAAGATGGCCCAGTCAGCTCATTCAGGTTCAGGTCACACCCTGACAAGTTAGCCCAGCCTCCTAATCATGTTAATATCTCCAGGTCATGCCCTGATAAGATAGACCAGCCTCTTCACACATCTCCAGGTCACACCCTGACAAGTTAGCCCAGCCTCCTAATCATGTTAATATCTCCAGGTCATGCCCTGATAAGATGGCCCAGTCAGCTCATTCAGGTTCAGGTCACACCCTTATAACTCAGATCTGTCAATTTGCTAATAACCCCGGACTTGAAGCAGCTAACATGATGAGAGATCAAACATGTTTATCAACAAACAAAAACATCACACAATTTTTAGTCACCCTTTAAGTACTGATTGGGAGAAATGTGGCAACAACTCATAAAGTAAACTTTACTGCCAGGTTAAAACTTGTACATGGCCACAGTGATGAAGCTAGTTACCAAAGATTCTGTGTGTTCAGTATCATAACTCAAGCACACAAGTCATAAACTGACATTCTTGAGATACTTGGAACCCAATAATATTCAGAAAATGCATGCCTGTTTTTATTAACCGACCATAATAAATGGCCATTTCTCACCACAAATATTACCAAAAGGCTTTTCCTTTCATGTTCCCAAATAAACTCATCTTAGAGAACACTCTTGCACATGTGTTGGTCCAAAAAGTTAGTATTTGAGTAATGTCGCCAACACATGAGGTGTTAAAAAAAAAAGCAAAGAAAAACACACACAAAATTGAAATAGAAAAAAATCTGGAGAGCTACCATGTCTCTCACATGTCTTGAAATTTCATCTCCAACCTGGGTAAATACCAAACCAGCCATTGTCACCCTTTCCAACAGATCATGTTCCAAAATAATATATTCCTGAAATGTGCTCAAGTCTGGCACTTCAATCAGTGGGAATAACATGAAACTAAGGAATAATTTCTGTGCTAAAAAGCCACCACACAAACTCAAAACAGCAAATGCCATATGTTTCATTCCCAACCGAGGGAAACATTTGAGCTTCTTCACAAAATGTTTTCCTAGTTGTCTGAGCTTATTCGTGAAAAGATGAACTGGTACTATGCAAAACACTTCACAAGATAAATAAACATGACAGCTTTATGATTTGGTATAACTAAATTATGACAGATGCATTCCCTGTGAAAGCCATTACAGTGATGTATGCATGAATGAGACCTGATTTTCCCTTCTCTGTCATCAGAGAACAAAAGCATGGAACTGCTGGAAAAACGAGATACCATAATACATTGAAACTGCATTTTCACATGGAAAACCAAAGTGATTCCAAAAAGCTGTTCCCTGTAAACTACTGCACAAGATATCATATTGCGATATCTGTCACTGATTGGAACTGATGGAAAATCAGGACCGCTATTTCTCTGTGTATTCAGAAAACAGCAACACAAAATGACCTTTACTTTCTATTAGTCATAAAACGATAACATGCTATGAAATGCATCAAATCATCCAGTTTTACTTTCTCCTTATAACTTGCCAGGATACCTGAACAAAAAAAACATATTTTGGCTCAAGGTAAGAAAACGTAAGATTTGGATGATCAAGGCCTGTCTTAACCATCATAAACCCATGAGACATATTTCAAACAATTTGAGATACAAGTTTCTGATTCAACCTCATTTCCAAGGTTTGCAAATTTTCACATAGCTGATGCAGCTTACAGGAAACTCATCGCATCTAAATCTGTTGGATTGTTACCTCCACAACATGGTATGGATTTTTATTCACAAATTGCTCTTGGCACTACAATTGTTATTCTATGAGTCACAGCAGTAACAACACCAAGATGATAAATGAACCAGTACCAGATTTGGTACATTAAGAACCCAGGGATAATACAAATTTGGGTAAGACAAATACTTATAAATAAATTGCAAGTACTGGTACTAAAATGGGCGGGGCTTGTGTTACATAATTGCGCTAAACCATGTCACTTACATAGTATCTTAGTCTACAGTTATTTTTGTGTTAATCATTTAATAAGCTGTCTGTGAAGTTATTATTGTTAACATAGTTATTTATAAGAATTGACTTCAATATATTTTTGTGTCTACGGAGTTATAAACTTAAAAAGCAGTGTGCACACTTTGCGGAAAGTCAGCTGCGTATTCACAGTGTGCACATCCGTTTTTACGTTTATATCTGCATAAATGCAAAACTTATTGAAGTAAATTTGAAAAATAAAAGACTACATACTCTATTTCATTTTAATACGATGAACAATAAAAGTAATTAAAACTATCATGAGTATCGAATCCTGATATATATTTTGTATACCGGTGGGGGTGTTTTTTTCAAGCAGAACTCTTGCTATGTTGAATATGGTATGCTTCTTAAGCAGGTCTTGTAAACTGTTTTTACTTATTTCATCCCTTGGGCACTACACTTGTCTGACTGCATCCAATTCCTAAACTGCTCTCATAACAGTTTTTTCCACATCGACAGAGCCTACAGCCCAGTGTTAGAATGGTTGATGGTTGATTTCATATTCCACAATTAGCATATAAAATCATATTTTCTCGAAGGCAGGTATTATGTCCACATGACGAGGTTTAATCATTAAGTAATTTTCTGGATGCTGTCAGATCTTTGACAGGAATATGGATTGAATGAATCTTGGAATATGAAAGCAAAGAGTTCAAACTGAAACAGAATAAACATTATTTTTTTTCAGTTAATATGGTTAATGCTGCACGAAATAATGACTCCAATATTCACATTTTGGAGTTTATGGATTTTTCTGCAACTACTAGCAATATCCTATATAGTTGTAAATGCTGAGGCAATATTCGATGAAATATGCAAAACTTGTAATAGAAAGAAACCACACACCATCTCAAGCAGACAATGATCATGAGACAGTCCACAGTATATTCCAAACTCTTCATAAAAGTATATACATTCACTTGTCACTCGCATGTAACTGTTTCACATTATCAGTGACCAACTATACAGGAATTCTAAATAGAGGCCAACCATTTGATATTTAAAAAAAAAAAGATTTGTCTCTGAAAAAAATAATTATGCAAAATCACCCCCTCTCCATCCAGAAAATCAAATGGTTGGTGTCTAAGAAAGGTATTGGAAGCTGGGTATTGGAAGTCTAGTTGTGGAAGTGTTGAGTCATCCCATTCAAAGTTTTAACCCCTGTTCAATACCCAAAAAATGTTAGTCCAGGTTGTACTATCATATTGTGGGAAAACTACTGGAAGCTGCTTATAAGGCCCCCAACGGTTTTATGTTTCTGGTCTTTTGGTTCTGACAAAAATAATGGGCCAATGCTGCTTTTATTAAAATGCAGTTTTCCCAGTTATACATAAAAGTTCAGTAGAATGATGTCTAAACTGCACTTGACAAGCCAAAAGGCCTTATCATCTCCCCACCCCCATCAACACACACAACACACACAGACACGCCATGCATCATGTGCAATGTGTGTTTTCATTTTGGGGAAAGCAGGTAAGAGTTAACTGTCCTTAATTAAAAATCGAGAAAATGAAAAAAAAAAAAACTGGGAAGAGGAGTCGGTAACCGTGCACACTCACTACACTGTTTCATCTTAACAGCATAAGTTCATGTTAAGGTCAGCCATGAAAAGACATGGTTCATAAAACCAGGGCCTGAAGACGAGTCTGGTCCACAAAACAAGTTTAGCACTATGGCTGTCAGAAACTCCCATTCATTAACATAGACTTATGATAGCACCAGATCCTTTAGTTTAACTGATCCCAGATCAAGTTTGGTGGCTCTGTCAGTGGAAGAGGTCAAGATGACATGAGTCTTTCAGCATCAATATTATTGGTATCTCCATCACGTGACCCTACCTTTTTTATGATTGGTTTTGCGATGTTCAAGTGATCACACAATGTGTTTCTGATTGGTCGAATCTCCTCCACTGGATTGTCCCTGTAACATAATACAGTACATCAAAATACATCAAAAATATTGACACAAAATTGTAATTTTAAGTTTTCATGTCTGTTTGTTGTTTAATGTTGCAATATTCCAGCTATATGATGGTGGTCTGTAAATAATCAAGTCTGGACCAGACAATCCAATGATTGACATCATAAGCATCGATCAACGCAATTGGGATACGATGACATCCATCAACCAAGTCAGGGAACCTGACCATCCGACCCCATTTGTTTGCTCTTTCGACAAGCATAGTTGCCTTTTACAGCAAGCATGGGTTGCTGAAGACCTATTCTACCCTGGCCCTTCAATGGTGCAATCAAAGAAGGATCAAGTACCGGTAACTCATTGGTGAGTAAGTTGGGTTTAACACTGCTTTGAACGGTATTGCAGTCATATCTCCGCGTGCCAGCATAACCTGAGAGGAAAACCCCAAGTGGTGACTTTTACCACTTTGTGACTCAGGGCGAACTATCTCAAACAAAATTTGCTTTACAAATGTAACAACAGAAAAGATAAGCAAATCGATGACTTATTTATGAAACACGTTACAGCAAGTCCTAGACTGACATGGTTTTCATCACAGTTGATACATTAGAATAAGGTGCTGAAGACATTCACTTCACAAAGTAGGTTCATTCAATACGGGAGCAACTTTTATATCAGTCGCCGACATGGCTGAAACGTTTCTATGTATAGAGCCAATGACTGAGTAGGTGGGAAAGTGAGATTTGGTTATTTCAATCAATCTTTCGGTTTTATTTTGCACAGCATGGGGGAAAAGTTTAATAAAAGGGATGCATATTGGCAGCTGAAATTGTATTGCAATATATTGTGATGTAAAGTGGCCACACTGGATACATATCAGAGACAAGATTACTGTTCTATGGCAGAAATTCTAATCCCGAACTTTCGTTGAAAGTGTTTGTTTATTTCAATTACGTAAATATAATTTAAAATGGGGTGGTGCTTTCAGATGCTGTCTTATTCCTTTTTTTCACCTTGTTGGCATTTTACATTCTACGGGAGTAATTGGAGCAGCTTAACATTGTTGCAGTTGTTCGTTGCCATTCTGTACCGACAGCATGCATGAAGACATCACACACTAGCCACAGCTTAGCAGCTGATGTCACTGCTAGATAGTGTATGTTACAGTTCCTGTGGTCAATAAGGAAGGTGTTTATTCATAAAGATATTATCCTTGAAATAAACATAGTCGTATTAAAAATGGTTCAGGAAGATGGTATAGGAGCAGAGAATGAATATCAAGTGCACACTGATGCATTGGCCGGGGTAATAATAATGTTCTGTTTGTTTGTTGTTTAACACCGCACTTAACAATATTCCAGCTATATGACAGTGGTCTGTAAATAATCGAGTCTGGATCAGACAATCCAGTGATTGATGTCATGAGCATCGATCCACGCAATTGGGATACGATGACATGCATGAACCAAGACAGCGAGTCTGACCACCTGATCTCGTTAGTCACGTCTTAAGACAAGAATAGTTGCCTTTTACGGCAAGAATGGGTTGCTGAAGGCCTATTCTACCCTGGATCTTCAAGGGTATAATTATAACGTAATGCCATAAGCATTCACTTGGTGTATGGAGTATGGTGCATTAAAAATGTCCTTAATATTGATATGCAATGTGTAAGATATAACATATTGCAATTAACTGATGCATCGATATATCGTCACATCCCTAGTGATGGGCAACAATGTGCAACTGATTGATCGAATGAATTGGAGCGAGCCATTACAGGTATGATTTAACATCAGTACATCCCACTTGTAACCCAGTTAAAATTCATTAGATGTTACTTGTTCTCAAAGATAATCCATATAGCCACTCAACTGACTCAAGTTCTGATTGATCCTTCAACCCCTTCATAAACACTTATTGATCAGCAATAACTCAACATGACTCACATCAATATAAACTTAGACAAGCAGTTCTAGAACCCAAATTTACATTCACATTTTCCAGAAATTCTCCAATTGTGACATACTTTCAAAACAATGTCTGGGGAAATTTTACTATCACAGCGTCCAACAAGAGTTTAACAATTTTCTCTCCAGCAGTTTAACAAAATATGTAAAGGTTTAACAAATATCTATACATAGTACAGTGTCGCCATCTGCACTACCTATAGACATGGCCATTGTCTGCAGAAGAGTGCAGGACCATGTTGATGTAGAACCTTGACCAATATTGACAGTAGAGACAGGTGTGGATATCCTACACACACATACACAGACAAACGCAAAAGATTCCTGACAGCAAGTCACACATTACAAGCAGATTTAAGTGTGTGCTTAAGAAATTCCTGTCGTCTTAGATTACCCTGATCATCGATTAGTGCACACACATGACATTGTTGAAGATTTCTAGGTGTATTTATGTACAGAAGTCCTATGAATATACATGCATCTCCCTCCTGCTTCATGTTATGTTAAGAACCTACAGGATGGAATCACTCACTACCAACAAGACACTCACACCGTAAGGCTACTATCAACATTGATGAACTGGGCCCACTTGCACAAAGTGATCTTAGCGCTAAGACTATCGTAAGCCTATGTAAAAGTATGGGAGTTACGATCATCTTAGCGCTAAAGTCGCCTTGTACAAGTGGGCCCTGGACTTTACCATGGAATCATCATGTCCATGTTTGCACAGACCTGTACGGAAGGCCGACTCAAACACCGATAACTCCACGGCTTAAAGGGACTTCAAGCATGTCAATTTGACATACTTGTGTCAAGAAATCTTCATTACTTTGTTAAGATTTCACACAAAGTGGAGCAATTATATGCCTTACTTCTGTTAGTGAGGTGGTTTAATACCAGTCAACAGTACAGTTAACTACGGTCATAACTCTAAGGGGCCACCAAATTTATATAGTTCATTATAACTGTAGTTTGTTATAAGCACATTTACACCACATATACAGCAAATGGACTGGACCCCAAAACAGTTCGTTATATCTGTCAGTTCATTATAAGCATGTTCGTTATGAACCTAGTTCACTGTATTTCACTTGAACGTAACATGGCAGATCAATGTAGAGGGAAGCCGACAGCGATGCAGCTTGTAGAAATTACACACTTTGGTGAAACCAGGAATGGGTCTGACAGACCAAGGACAATAATTGGGGCGAACCTGGGATTTGAAACTATAACTAGCTGGTCCTGGCATGCCTAGGTGATCCAGGTGTGTACAGTGGCACCTTAGACCACTGGGCCATGCACACATTACCAGAGCAGATAGAGCCAAAGGTGAGTTGGGTTCAACACCAAGCTGAAAGTATTGCTCTCTTGAACACCCGGCTTTGAATTGGGTCTTCAGCAATGCAACTGCGTACATCGATGCTCATGATGTCAATCACCGGATTGTCTTGTCCAGACTTGATTATTTAAAGGTTGCCTTCATACAGCTGAATTATTGAAGAGTTAAACAAACAAACTGAAGATTATTGCAGTTTTATGATGGTGCATAATCATTCTTTGACAGACAGGTAAAAAAAAAAGTGGTGCACGTAGTCCGTGTTTATCTTCACTGAAACCAACAAGCACTGCTACAGTGCTGAGAAACCAACGACAACAATCAGCTTTCAAGTTGGTCACATAAAGCTTGTAGAGAACCAAACTACTTGCAAGTCACAACAATATCACTACCTTCACCTTCCAATAATCATTCATAATGAATACACAATTTCTGGTTTCAATAACTGTACATCCATTTTCAATTACGGGTCCACATTGCCAGATATTTTAATAATTCCATCCCAAACAAACATATTCATACTAGTCAGACTTAGTCTTATCTTACAATATGGAACAATTAGTTGTTGTGCTACCCATCCTTTACCTAACATCACAGTATTCCAGCACAGTCCTTGCCTACAACCATCATCTGTCTATCTAAAGTATGGGGGCTAATGACTGTCAGCGCAAATATCACTTAGTCAAACAAGGCCCTCAGGCCAGTGTTATGTGACAGTTTGAATCTGTCATCAATTGTCCCCTTGTCATGCAATCAACACCTAATTGGCCTATGTACACAAACAAATAAATAATATCACCTCATCTTTATTTTGACTGAGAAATCAATGTTGTTCAACCCAGAGACACAGTAGTAACATATACCTGACCCTGACACCAACCCCGACCCCAACCCCAACCCCGACCTAGACCCTGAAACACAACACACCTTTCAAAATGTTCAGTACAACCAATAAGTGAAACGATGTAGTCTACATTTCAATCAAACCACAAAAGTGTTTCCATATTTTCAGAAAACTAGACATGAAATCAGCTACTGTAAAAGTAGAGTAAGTGAGTAAGTTAGGTTTTCACCGCGTTTAGCAATATTCCAGAAATGTCACGGCAAGGGACACTATAAATGAGCTTCACACATTGTACCCATGTGGGGAATCGAACCCGGGTAGTATGCTGAGCGAACGCTTCAACCACTAAGCTACCCAGCTGCCTCCTGTAATAGTACAACTAATGACAATAATAACATCATGTGTAATCGCGATATGTACTGAGACGATGTCAGGCTTGTCTGGAGGATGCAAGTCCAAACTATCTCCCATTGGTGGACCATCGCCAAGCCAGACAGACAATGTTTGCTAGGGAAGTTTATGCTTAACATGCTTAAAGAGGATAGTTCAATGTTTAGACGGGATACTGGATTTTTTTAACAGTACACATAAATACTCTACACATCGATGATGTGCAGATCCCATCTTTTTTCTCACAGATGTACTCACTGTTCATGACATAACAAAGCACACATGAAAAGATAACCAAACAGAGCATAACATTACTCTAGTTCTCCTAACATAGTTACAGGATTAAAAAAGCCAAAAAAACAATCAGGACTTTCTGTATAACAATCCAGTTTTTAGTTTCAAGAGCTTAAGGTAGTATCATCTTATGTAAATGTAAATGTCACAGAAATCATTTTAAACCCATCCA